CTCTTGGTCCCTGGGCCGACCTTTCGTTTCCTCCTTTCAGGACACAAGCCAGGGAGAGAATGAAGGGGAAGGAGACCGGCCCTGGCCCCTGCTGGTTCTCCCCTCAGGCCAGCCGCTGGTGAGGCCACAGTTGCAAGAACCCAGTGATTCCAAAGCAAAATCCAAGCGTGAAAGTCTATGTCTGGCATTCGTGATGATCTGGAAAAGGAAACTGTTTGGAAACTGTCTCTGTGGCTCCTCACGGCTCTACTGGATGTGATTCTCCTCCGCAAGTCAGGACACCCTTTCCTAGTTTCTGTTGGGCGTTAATCAAACCCCCTGGTGAGAGAGTGGACTTGCCCACCAGTGCCCCGAATAGGTGTGCAGGAAAGAGGGACAGAGAACACACCGGAATTTCCTTGGCTTCTGCACATGTTTCCCCAGCAGAGAGCTGGCACAGCACTCAACACTCCGCTCTCCCCTCTCCCTGCACCAGGAAACCCAGCTTCACCTCTTCAGGCATTCAGGGGGATCTGTGCCCTCTGACTGCCTGTGCTCACCTCCAGTCCAGATCACCACAAAACTATCACCATAATAAAATGAAGAATTTCCATTGGTTGGGGGGGATACTCACAGTGAACCTGCTCTAGGGCAGATGTTATCACTCAGTCCAGTGGGTCCCAAACACATCTGCACTTTGGAGTCGCCTGGGGGCTATAAGAAATTACGGATGCCCGTGTCTTACCCAGAAATTATGATTTTTTAAATTAATTTTTATTGGAGTATAATTGATTTACAATGTTGTGTTAGTTTCAGGTATACAGCAAAGTGAATCAGTTATACATATACATGTATCCACTCTTTTTTAGATTCTTTTCCCACATAGGCCATTACAGAGTATCGAGTAGTGTTCCCTGTGCTATACAGTAGGTCCTTATTAGTTATCTATTTATATATAGTAGTGTGTATATGTCAATCCCAATCTCCCAATTTATCCCTCCCCGCCTTACCCCCGGTAACCATAAGTTTGTTTTCTATGTTTGTGACTTTATTTCTGTTTTGTAAATAAGTTCATTTGTGCCATTTTTTTAGATTCCACATATAAGTGATATCGTATGGTATTTGTCTTTCTCTGTCTGACTTCACTCAGTACGACAATCTCTAGGTCCATCCATGTCACTGCAAATGGTGTTATTTTGTTCTTTTTATGGCTGAGTAATATTCCATTGTATATAAGTACCACATCTTCTTTATCCATTCATCTGTTGATGGACACTTAGGTTGCTTTCTGGCCTTGGCTATTGTAAATAGTGCTGCAATGAACATTGGGGAGCATGTATCTTTTCAAATTATGGTTTTCTCCGGATCTATGCCCAGGAGTGGGATTGCTAGATCATATGGCAACTCTAGTTTTTTAAGGAACCTCCATACTGTTCTCCATAGTGGCTGTCCCAGTTTACATTCCCACCAACAGTGTAGGAGAGTTCCCTTTTCTCCACACCCCCTCCAGCATTTATTGTTTGTAGATTTTTTGACGGTGGCCATTCTGACCAGTGTGAGGTGATACCTCATTGTGGTTTCGATTTGCATTAAAAATGATGATTTAATTGGCCTGGAGTGTGGCCGAGGCTTTGGAATTTAATACCCCCCCCAGATGATTCTAACATGCGAATTTGGAAACCCCTGCCTTAACCTTAGAGCCCTCTGAGATAGAATAAAAACCACCCCCTGCAGATGAAGGACCTGAGATTAAGCAAACCTGAGTGACTCACCCAGGCTCACCGCAGCCTTAAGGAGAGAGCCAGCCTCTGTAGTCAGGCTGTCGTCTACATCCTTGCTTCTCAAAGTGTGGTCCGCAGACCAGCAGCATCACCTGGGAGCTTGTCCTAAATGCAAATTCTGGAACCACACATATCCAGACCTACTGATCAGAAACTCTGGGGTGGGGCCCAGCACTTGTCACAGGCCTCCAGGATTGTCTGACGCCTGCTGAAGTTTGAGAACCACTGCTACAGAGACATCAAGGTGCCCCGAAGGTCACAGTAACGTGCAGCCAGCCTGGGGAGCTAGATGTGGCCACCCCCTGGCGACCCCTGCACCTGGAAGGCGCTTTCTGCCGCCACCGCCAGGGGGCGCCCAGCTGCACCCGGGAGGTTGGGGGATGGCAGAGCCGGCGGGAGGGCCCGGCAGGGTCAAGATCCCTGGGAACCGAGCTGGCCCAAGGGAACTGGAAGAACAGTACCCAAGAGAAGCTCTAAGCCTTTGGTACATTGCAGAGGCTTTTGGCTTCCCTGACTCCCAGGCATTGAAGCCTCCACACCCGTAGTTACTGAAACTTTGGGGATGGGGAGGGTAAAGACTCTAAAAGAGAAGAATAGGTGACTATACACTATGTCCTACAGCAATCACATTCTAATAAGACACTTTTATTAGACAAGGTATACCTAGTTAACGTAGGTTAACTTTGTAATTTTTGGAGAAATACACAGATTTTTGACTTATGTGTTCATTCCATTGAGAATTGTTTAATTTTTCTTTTCGGCCGCGTGGTATGCGGGATCATAGTTCCCCAACCAGGGATGGAACCCCGTGCCCCCTGCAGTGGAAGCGCGGAATCCTAACCACTGGACTGCCAGGGAATTCCTGAGAATTGTTTAATTTTAAAAGTGCATGTATATACTCTATTCGTAGTTTTGTATCTATCCACAACCCTCTGCTTGCATGATTGAAGTCACAAAAAGGTAAAAGCAAGTCCCCTAAAATAGAGGAGACTTTGGTACGTGCCATATAAGCATCTTTGTTAATTACCATTGTGAAAGTAATTAGACATTGTATGAGTGAAATTAGGGTTGTTATCAAATTAGACATCACAAATATGCATGATCTGCTCAGACTCACTTTACATCTAGGAAAAGAACTGGAGAAATTATAGATCTCTGTTATTCTGGAATATTTTAGATCTGGCACAGGTATCCATGATATAAATCTTTGAAATATGGATAAGTCAAAATATTTATAAATGATTATCCTTTATAAAGTCACAGATAATGTTCCCATGAGGGGGAAAAAAAAGATTCCCTAAGGAAGCTAAAAATTTAATGAGGGCAGGGACCATCGTTTTTTTTTTTTGGTTTTTTTTTTTTTTTATTTATTTTTGGCTGCATTGGGTCTTTGTTTCTGTGTGAGGGCTTTCTCTAGTTGCAGCGAGCGGGGGCCACTCTTCATTGCAGTGCGTGGGCCTCTCACTATCGCGGCTTCTCTTGTTGCGGAGCACAGGCTCCAGACATGCAGGCTCAGTAGTTGTGGCTCACGAGCCCAGTTGCTCTGCGGCATTTGGGATCTTCCCAGACCAGGGCTCGAACCCGTGTCCCCTGCATTGGCAGGCAGATTCTTAACCACTGCACCACCAGGGAAGCCCCCAAGGGACCATCTTTGTCTTGTGCTGCACTGTATCTCCAATTCCTGATGTTTCTGGCTTACATCTTCCCAAGTAAAGGTGATAAGGCTTATCTAGAACGGCACTGAATTGGCCGCCAGAAAGTTTCATGAGGAAGCAGCTAAGGTAACAACCAGCCTGCACCACACCAGAAACCCGGGTGTACCAAGGTGTTTGGCGTTCTGGGAAAGGCCACCCCAGTCCATATTTCTTTTTGTAAATTTTCCCAACCTGGGATTGTCCTTCCTACGATGATCCTATGCTTGTCTCCATGAAATTCAGTTTTACATGTACCTATTGCATATTTTCTGTGTGTGGGACACATACCGGATTTGCTGGTTGTGCAGAAATAAGCAATTGAAAGCCCTTTGCATGCTGGCAGGTAATAAGCAGGTATAACATGGTGTCAGAAGGGTGTCATACTAGCAGATCTGGCACATCTTAGCAGAGCACCAACAGAGAGCATCCATGGAGAAAAGACTTTGAAGGGGTGTGGCATTTGAGATATTCTTTGAAGAATGGATAAAATGTTCAGCTAGATAAAATATCTGAGTGGGAGGAGAGCATCCTGAACAGAAGGAATGGTATGTGTAGGAGTCTGGACCATGAGGTCTGCTTGGGGATCAGGCAAACCGCTTGTCTCTGAACATAAAATATATGTGGTTAGAAAGGAGAGCAGTGAAAAAAAAAAAAAAAAAGGATGAAGATGCTAATTGTATCCAAATACAAAAAAGATCTTTACCTGCCAGGCCGAAGTTAATTTCTACTTAATTTCACGGGCAGTGGTTGGAAATGGATGTTTACTGAGCAGAGCAAGTCAGTGCCATTGGGATCGCACTTGGAAGGGTTTTTGCAGCTACTGGTGTGGAGGGGATGCAGGAAGTTACCAGAGCCTGAAGATGGTGGCGGAGGGAATAAAACTTTGGAAAACATATTTGAGAGATATTTCAAAAGCTTCTTAGACTTGGCCGTTGGTTGGGTTTTGGAGAAGGATTGCCAGGTTTTGTGCCTGGGTGACTGAGGAAATCTTAGTCATTAACATAGGGAGTTCACCGGGTTTTGTGTATTGAATTTACTTATACTAAAATGAATCTGTAATTCTAACTTGAGGAAAACACATAGCTACTACCTTCTTCAGGAAAAAAAAAAAAAACCTCTAATCTTTACTTTGGGCTCTGATTTCCTGCTCAGTCCTCCTCAAAAATGTTCGATCAGTTCCTGAAACTAGAAGAAATTTAAAGTTCAGAGGAGCTAAAATACTGCAAGCTAACTTTTATAGTTTATTTTTCCAGGCCATTCCTGAGTAGAGATAGACAGGAAATGAATGGTTACTGTAACTGAGATGTTTGTAGCATAAATACAATTTGTTAACTTTAGACCATTTTCCTAGGTTTTATTCCTCCCATAACTCAAATTGTGTTTTATTCTGGGGAGAGAAAAAAATATATAGGTGATCTAAAAAAATAAAGGTTAAGCTGTACTGATTTTGTGTGCAAATTGTATCCTATAAATTGTACTGTGACCCATCATTTGGAGAACTCCAAAAAAAAACCCTAAATCTTCATTTCCTTTGTGTTTTCTAAAGGTCAAATGCTGCAAATACTGGCCAGATGACACAGAGATCTACAAAGACATTAAAGTCACCCTAATAGAAACAGAGCTACTGGCAGAATATGTGATAAGAACATTTGCTGTTGAAAAGGTAAGTTTTCACACTGCTTTGAAAAGCTTTGGTCAGACATTAGTGATACCAGCCTCATTAAGTTATCTGGGATAATTCATACGTGGTCACGCCTGAATGCAGGTAGGCTCTATCCAGTGATTTCTCAAGATTGCATCTTGCCCTGTGATTCTGTAATAGCTCAGTTCTGTCTTTGAAGCAAATCATTCCCATTTCATGAAAATCTGTGTTTTGCAACTAAACCAAAAGATACACCTATCTGTCTACTTCCTTTTTCTTTTTAACCTGATTGATATTGTTCAGCTCATCTCTCTGTCCTTGTTCAGAGGCAGTTCAATAAATGTCCTTCATGCTGTATGTCCATTTGGGTTTCCCAGTGTTGAGTTCGTATCGGTGTGGAGACACAGGTCCTAACTCCTCCTGGATCCCCTCCACCTCCTTGAGGCTTTTCCAGCCTATGGTTTAATATGGACTGATGGATTTTCCAGGTGGAAGCTTCTACCTGGAAACACACATAAGTAGACCTGGGACGCTCTTGCATGAACCAGCGCTTCCATCCATTCACTCCCATGCTGGTTTCAGCCCTCGGGCCCTGCGGGCGTGGGGTCCTGAATGCTGTGCTCTGTCCCACGGCCTCATCCCACATGCATGGATGGGACTGCTGCTCTGTGCCTTCTCCACAGGGCGTAACGGGGAATCTCCTTACTCCCCCTCTTTCTGCTGACATAGGGAGGGGCCGGAAGCGAAGCAAACTGCAGTCCATCCAGAGAAGTGTCACAGGTAGGCTGTGGGGGGTAGTGGAGGTGATGTGGCTGGCAAACGCTCTGCCTTCCTGTCCTCACCTTGCCTTCGAAGAAGGGGACCCACGGTTTTGTCTCTGAGGTCCCCCGGCTTCTGTCCACGGCTGAGCCTTACACTGGATGTGGCGATGCCGGCATGAATTTACCAGTGGCGGGTGCCCTTGCAGGCCCCGGGTTGTAAGTGGACCAGGGCGGTTGGCTCCCAGCCCTCCCCCCTACTTCTCACTGCATCTCAATGCACTTTCTGGATTAACAAGACCAGTTTTAGGAAATGAGGAAATTGCAGCGTTTGCTTACTGGCTCATTTACCCTGATTTTTTCAACTACCTCTCCTGGTTTTCAAATCCCTATTTGTCATACAATCACAAGGCTGAAGAGACTTTCATTTATTTTAATCTGTTTCTCAAACTATTTAGCTTTTTTTTTTTTTTTCCCTCAGCCTGTCTTTTTTAATAAGCAGGCAGGAGGCTTAGAGACTTCAAACAACGTGGAGTTCTGGCTGACTCAATTCTTCAAGTTCTGAACCTCACACTTTGATGTCGGGTTTTTCCCTTCTTAGGCAGGATTGGGGGAAAAAAAAAAAAAACATATGGAGGATTTTTGTATGGCTCTTGGCAAGAGCCCTCATGAATAACTGCATTGAAAAAGATAGTGATAAAAGACCCAGAATATTTTCTTCTTTAAAACAAAAAAAAGCATCCAAAAGCCGTCACTTAAACATAGAGTTCTTTGAACAATAGTCAGCTCTCTAATAAGCTGAAAATGCATCTCTGTGGCTAAAGGAAGGATTTGTTTGTCTTTTTAGCCTTTTTTTAACCTCTTGGTGTTCTCGGCTACATCCCCAGCTGCACAGAAATGTTCCTGAAATACCCAGTTATTTAGTCCTCAGGCGAGCAGCAAAGAGGTAGTGGGAGGAAGGAAAGCATGAGGAGCTTGTTAGAGCGTTTGGGGAAATCAAAATGACATGTTGCCGGATTTTCTAACGGGGCAATTGGAATCTCTGAGGAAAACAAATCATTAGTACGTCTGTGGAGCACTTCTTGTAGGTTTTAAACTTCCTCATTAGAAAGGAAACTTAAAAAAAAAATAAAACAGCCAAGTGAAGTGTATACTTTGAGAGTCCTCCAATTCGGATTCTATTTTGAGAGTATTCGCATCAGGGGACCTAAAGGTGAAAAATGGGTTTGGGCTCCGTTCTGCAAACAAGCAGGCAGGTTTGTAGCCTGAAACTGGTCAGTTTCTGTTTTGCATGGGACGGTCATCCTTCCTTTCCCCTGTAGCTGGTGACTCCAAAAGCTGAACAGCTTTTAAATAACAAAGTGCCCATCATGGCAGGAGGAAGACAGCTGAAAAGTTTCTGTGGATCTAGGTGACTCTACCCCTGCCACAGCTGGCAGAAAGGAAGCCGGCGATGGACACCAAGTTCTCTCTGCCTAGGAGGTGCCTGGGGCTCAGAGAGGCAGGGATATGGTCCTGAATCTGCAAGACAGAGCATGTGCCTAGGGATTCATCCATCCACACATATTTATCAAGCGCCCGCTCTGGGCTAAGCACTAGTGTTTGTCGTGGGGGGCCTTCCTTCCCAGCTATTACAAGGAAAAGGAAATGCATACCTCGCTTTTACTGGGCTGGCCAAAAAGTTCTTTCGGGTTCGTCCCAGAAGATGTTACGGGAAAGCCCGAACGAACTTTTTGGCCAACCCAACATATAGCATTAATACTTATTACGTATAATACGATACTCATTTATTTAGCATTAAATCTTGTTAATGAAAAATGAACAAAAGATATACTTGATATCCAGTTGGGAAATATTTTGGACTGTGATCACTGATCACATCTATGATTTTCCCCCCCTGTATTACAAAACAGTGAAGAAAGAAACTGCCACGTCCATGAACAAGAGTGAGAGGCGACTCAGAAGCCAGTTCCGTTGCTCATCTTGTCAGTAGTGAACACATTAGAGGGTGGAGGTTTATTTTGGGAAAAGGTTTGCTGCATCCCAGACACTGACATTTACCCTGCTGAGAAAACGAGTCTTAGATCAGTTGGGCGCCCAGCCCGTGTTGGATGGAGTTCAGGTTCTGGGGATGCTGGCTCTGAAATCTAGCAAAGCTAGAAAGGGAAGTGCTCAAAAAATTAAAATTAAAAACAACAGTGTACGGGAGACATAAATGCCCTTTTGTCCTCTTTGGAATGAATGAATCTTTATTATAGGCTTTCCCACTTCCTGGGACCACCCCTGCCCTGCCCTGTCGTCCTGTGTAAAGCCAGGGGAGCTCTCAGGGGTTTAGAGGCTCACCATGTGTCTTCTGATGGAGGCTTTAGCCAAATGTTACCGTGGTTTCAGTGATAGAAAGTGTGGGCTCCTAACCACCAGTAATCTTGCTCTGGGGTCACAGAGCATATTTAGCAGATGACAATGTTCATTTTCCTTTGTGACTCCCTGACGGCTTAATTCCTTAATGCTTCAACCCCACTAAAGAATAGCATGATTTTCAAAGAGAAATAAAGCCTCAGCACTTGTGGGTTATTAAACCAAGACAAATGAATGCCCTGATGGCAAACAAGTCTTAATTTTAAAACCTATCGTTGTTTGCCTCTTCTAGTCTTTCGAAGCACATGAAAATTCCGAATTTCTTCCTGGCTACCTCTGCGTGAACAGCAGCTGCTGGTGAAAGTGACAAGGTTCCTGGGTGTTCAATGTTAAGATGATAAAACCCAGCCCAGGGCCAATGGAGAAGTGGTGTCCAGGGAGCGGTGCTAGAAAGAGAGAAGGGGGAAAGTCAAGTCTGATCTCAGGTTACCTCCAGCCTTGATTCTGGAAGTAATTGTTGTTTTCGAAGTAGACTCCTGGGCTTCCCTGGTGGCGCAGTGGTTGAGAGTCCGCCTGCCGATGCAGGGGACACGGGTTCGTGCCCCGGTCTGGGAGGATCCCACGTGCCGCGGAGCGGCTGGACCCGTGAGCCGTGGCCGCTGAGCCTGCGCATCCGGAGCCTGTGCTCCGCGATGGGAGAGGCCACAGCAGTGAGAGGCCCGCGTACCACAAAAAAAAAAAAAAATAGACTCCTGTTTTGAAACACAGTCTTAATACATAGGCTCATAGTGAGAAAAAGAAAAAAAAAAGATGGATATAAATCAACTTAGTTATTCTCAAAACAAGAGGAAATGTTAAAAAAATTAAAAACACTTGAAGTCTGTTTCCTTGTGCCTTCCCTTCGGTTCTGTGGCAGACCACCCTCTCTCTTCAGGTTACTGGCCTAACATAGAATTCCAGCAAAAATACCTCTGGATTTCCATGGTTTATAATCTCGACATGCCCGTTTCCCACAGGCTGACCGCTGAAGGCAGGAGACACCATCTCCATGTCTCTGCAGCCCCAGCCCCTGGAGTCAGGCCTGAAGCATTGCGTTTGCGTCTGACTGTTGGTGATCAGATGAATGGATTAAATGTTTACCCCAATTAAAGAGAGAAACCTAACAAACTTGAGTTGCCAGTGAAAAGTGGTTCTCTGTGCTGTCCGGTTGGAAAGTGGTCCTTCTTCCAGTGGCCTTTCTGCACATCCTCAGCGTGTGCACAGCCCGAGTGCCTGGTGCAAACAGCACCAGAACACAGAAGAGCTCACCAGGGGTCTGCATCTCAGCAGCTGGTCTTGAGCGCACAGATACCCCTTAGTTCCTTCCCGTCCCCGTTCTGTGCGTCCTCTGTGGGCTCGCTCCTCACACCGTAGGATCTAAGTGACACACAGACTGTTAACAGAGCCTGAGTTAACAGGTGTAGAAAGAAGCCTCAAGGAATCCCAGCGACACACCCATTTGCTGCCACTTCACCTGTTAATTAGCGTTTTCCCCAAACATCCCCTCCCCTTTCACCCCCACGAACATCTTCCTCCCTGTGAGGAGGCTTTCAAAGCGCGTATTGCACCTAAGAATGACCGTCTTCCCAGCAGCTCACTTTCCCAGCCCCGGGGCTCCCTGACTGCTTAGGGGTCCTTGGCACCCTCCTGGCCCCTCACCGTTTGTTCTCCTTTGTTCTCTTCCTGCGCTGTGCTGACCGACCCCTGGCAGCGAGGTGTTCATGAAATACGCGAGATCAGACAGTTTCACTTCACGGGCTGGCCGGACCACGGCGTCCCCTACCACGCCACCGGGCTGCTAGGATTCGTCCGGCAGGTGAAATCCAAGAGCCCGCCCAACGCAGGCCCATTGGTGGTGCACTGCAGGTGAGGGGGGCCCGAGGCTCCAAAAGGAAGCACGGGGAGCAGTGGGTGCGGGTCTCCTTGGGGTGATGGAAACGTTTGGAAACTTGATGGATGCGAAGGCGCCAGGTGCCACTGAGTTGTGCACTTTACGATGGTCATTGCGTGTTATGTGAGTTTCACCGCAATAAAAATCTAAGCGGAAGCAGGAGCGCAGAAGTCCTTTCTCCTCCACTGACTGAGCCCTCTCTCTGTGCAGCGCCGGTGCAGGGAGGACCGGCTGTTTCATTGTCATCGACATCATGCTGGACATGGCCGAGAGAGAAGGGGTGGTGGACATCTACAACTGCGTCCGGGAGCTGCGGTCTCGGAGGGTGAACATGGTGCAGACCGAGGTACAGCAGCTCCCGACCGCCCGCCTGCCCTCCCTCGGGCTCTGACCCCGGTGCCCGCCCTCCACCTCACCTCCCAGGGCAAGGGGAGAGAAGAGCCAGCAGTTCTGTCTTCAGAACCCCCAGGAGAAAAAGTGAAGCACCTGGCCATCCTTCTTTCCCTCCCTCCCTCCTTCTTTCCTTTTCTTTTTCTTTCATAAACACACAGAAAAGGCCACGAGTCTCCCAGGTAACAGAATCTGAGCCTAACTGTCCCCTTACTTCTGTGTCCAGGGTCCAGTCAAGGCTCTACGTTTAAGCATTCGGGGATTCAATACCATTTCTTTTTACTGTGTCTTTTAAACTAGCTGGTAACCAGAGCGAGACCACTCCTGAGAATAGCCAGGCATTTGCCAAGTAACCTTTAAGGGTAATCTCTGTGCATTTCGTTCTCTTCCTACTGTCCTTAAAAATTCCGTCCAGTGGCCTGGTATCATGGGAATTCGCCCATTTTCTGGAAGTGCTCTATAAGTTAGAACTTATATAAGTTCTATATAGTTATATAGTACTTCTATAAGTTAGAACTCAAGGTGTATCAGGACTTTAAGTATTTGAGAAAAAGTATTCCATCCTGCTCCTAGGAAATTTACATTTTTACTACTATTTGATCCTTTTAAGTAGGCATTACACCCACCACCTGGAAAATGATTCATGAAGTAGAATAAGACTCCCTTACATTTAGGTTGTGCATTAAAGTTTACAAAAGCCACTGGGAAACCTAATTTCATTTTTTAACTAACAGAGAAGAATAACAGAAACTGTAAATGCTGCTTCCATGGTCTTTTTTCTTTAGAACAGAGTTTTTGTTTTAAAGATAATAATGATCATAATGTATTTTCAATGTACTTAACAGTTGATCAAATGTCACCACATCCCCTTTTTCTCACTCAATCCATTTCTGAGGTGTTGTTTAATAGGACTGGGCTGTTTTCGAGAATTAAGAATTCAAGTTATTTATAGAAATTAAAGTAAAAAGTAATGGGCCTCTTTTGCATTTCATGTAATTGGAGAGCAATAATAAATATGCTAACACTTTACTAATTAACTGTCGGGAAAGCCAGGGCGAATTCAGAATTAGAGGGTTGGTTTTTAAACTGCAGGCTTATACGTACACACGAGAGCTCTTCCCTGGACACATAAGGACTTTCGTAATCATCGCATTAATTAATGTTTCAAAGTAAGTAGCTCTAAGTGCTCAGAACTGTTGATTTTTCATAGTGATGTCAAGTTTCCCTGGACCTTTCTTTGCACTATTAATTTGGTTAGCACATTCCTCTTTTCATTATATGTAGGTAAGATTCTGCTATTTCCTCATCTGAAATACTGAGTTCCAAACTCGTGGGATCAGAATTGCAGAGACAGTGTAGCTCCAGTTACTCCCACATGACAGTGCTTGCTCTGGGATTTATCAGCGTCTGAGTGGTTTTCATCGATCTGTTTACGGCTTCTGCACTGAGCCCCTGTTTATCTCTTCCTCCCACTATATTGTACGCCACACATGGCCAGTCACCAATGTGCCCGCCGTCCCGTTAGGGAACAGGATTACTGGTCCTGGAATAAGCCCCTCCTAGCGGTCAGGTCCTCTCCCCTGCTTTCTCTCTGGTGGGAGGGCGTCGTCTGTGATGGGTGGACCATTGTTCTGTTTTCCTGTCTGTGTGGGGCTGTGTTCCCTCCTTCTCTAGTTCTTTCTGGTTACCTTGGTTTCTCTACTACTAACGAGTCCCGTCTGCTTCGCCAGGAGCAGTACGTGTTCATCCACGATGCCATCCTGGAAGCCTGTCTTTGTGGGGACACCTCGGTCCCTGCTTCCCAAGTCAGGTCTCTCTATTATGACATGAACAAGCTGGATCCACAGACAAATTCAAGCCAGATTAAAGAGGAATTCCGGGTAAGTCGTGCTAAAGGGACAGGTGGCCGGCTGTGACCTTGCTCCTTAAGAAGGATCTCAGAGTCGGCTCCTGAACCCTTGAGCCAACACAGGGTTTCTTAGCCTCGGCACTGTTGACGCTGGGGACTCGATCATCCATTGCCATGGGGGATGTTTAGCAGCATCCCTGGCCCCTACCCACTGGATGCCAAGAGGCCTCCACCACACGGTTCTGACAACCAGATCATGTGCAGACCTTGCCAGTGTCCCCACGTTGAGAACCACTGGTCTAGCAGAGCCAGGCCCCCCCTTAGCAGGCAGACACCACACTGTCCCACAGTGTAACACAGGTGCAGCTGGACCAAGCAATGTACATTCAGGGTGCTTGCCGGGCAAGAGTTCTTCGTGCAGTTCCTCATATTCACGTTGGGTGTAAATGCACCTGACTCGGCCGATCTCCACCAGCCTCTTACCCCCAAGCGCCCAGATGTCCAGCCCTAGTCGGACTCGACGGCACGTAATCCTGCACACCCACGGTGGTCCTTATGTCTGATGGGCACTGTCTGTGGACCAAGTCCAAGGAGCGTAAAGAGAAATAAAAATCCAACTGTGTCAGTGGGGTTCGGGGAGGAGGGGGACATCAGCTGCAGGAAACGTGGGTCTCCCGAGGTCTGAGACGGGTTCTCTTCCCAAGTGTGTGTCCTCTGTCCTCTAGACCCTGAACATGGTGACACCGACCCTGCGCGTGGAGGACTGCAGCATCGCGCTTCTGCCCCGGAACCACGAGAAGAACCGCTGCATGGACATCCTGCCCCCCGACCGCTGCCTGCCTTTCCTCATCACCCTCGATGGCGAGAGCAGCAACTACATCAACGCCGCCCTCATGGACGTGAGCCCTCTCGCCCCCTAGGCAGGGTGTGGGGGGATGGTCCTCCAGGGACAGTGCCTGTGTTATCTCCTGACTCCTCTGCCCTTGTTTTTTTTTAAGATGTAAACCGTATTTGCAACAAAGTGCATTTCAGATTCCGTATCTGTTTCTGTGTGAGGACCAATGTTCTTAGTCTCTCTGAGAGCCCCAGTCCAGGCGATTGATAAATGAAAGATGTCTCGGTTACTCTCTGAGCTTCAATTTTTAACCTCCTGGCCGGAGAGCAAGAGACAGCTATTAAGTCACGAAAGCAGCAAAGTGGGATAATATGGTTTTTGCAGCATTATTTTAGTTGCCATTCCTCCTCATTTGGGCGGTAATTAACATGGGGGGAAAATTGCCTGTCAGCACAGATAGTACACAACTCATTACCTCCTGTCTGTCTGTTTACTTCTAACTGAATGAACATTTGCTGTTCAATTGATGGGCAAAGTGAACGGGTATTTTCAGTGCTAATATGGAAATTTTAATTCTATTGGTGTGCTGTCAGTAAAAGCGCATTTAAACTTGTTTGAAGCTCTGCAGAGCTGTAAAAAGTATGTGTGTCCTTTGATGGCAGGAATAAGTAACACCATCACACATTTAAATGACAAGCAAACAGATTTTAGGAAAAACAGAACTATTTTAATTATACATATTCTAAAGTAAAGTTAAATTTTCTCCATTAAAATAGTTATGTATAGGGCCAACATTGCCTTTCTACCAGAAATACCAAAAAAATATGAAATACTGATTAAGTTTTCTTAGTATCAAAGTGAGATTATTTTATCATTATTATTCTGCAGATGACTCTATATTTGGTCTGTTTTGGCATTGACAATGGTGATAGAATTCAACAATTGTTAAATACATTCAGTGTTTTATGTCACAAACTCCCATGTGTACAAAATAACTTAGCTTCCTCCTGTTACATTTTCCTGGGTATATTTGGATCTTTCTTGTTTGTGTTTGCAGAGCTATAAACAGCCCTCGGCTTTTATAGTCACCCAGCATCCTTTGCCAAACACAGTGAAAGACTTCTGGAGGCTGGTCCTGGATTATCACTGCACGTCTGTAGTTATGCTGAATGATGTGGATCCGGCCCAGGTGAGACTCAAGATTTATGGCCATCAGGGCCTGTGCCCGGGGTCAAATCTGTGTTTGCTTTGTTTGCACATGGAGAAGTTCAGTCCCCCGTTGGCAGGTCACAAACGCCAGGCAAGGACGGAGAACCGGAGATGCTAAAAACCGGTGTTAAAAACCAGATGGGATTAGGGGTGGGCGCAGAAAATAGTCTGAAACCAAAAGAGATGGTGGGAGTGACAGGGCGAGACAGGGTCAGAAACTGGGCTGTTACCGAGGGATAGAAATAGTGACCAGATGGGCTTCCCTGGTGGCGTGGTGGTTAAGAATCCACCTGCCAATGCAGGGGACATGGGTTTGAACCCTGGTCCCACATGCCGCAGAGCAACTAAGCCCGTGTGCCACAACTACCGAACCTGCGCTCTAGAGCCCACGAGCCACAACTACTGAGCCCATGAGCCACAACTACTGAAGCCTGTGTGCCTAGAGCCCGTGCTCCACAACAAGAGAAGCCACCGCAATGAGAAGCCTGTGCACATCAACGAAGAGTAGTCCCTGCTCACCGCAACTAGAGAAAGCCAGCGCGCAGCAATGAAGACCCAACGCAGCCAAAAATAAATAAAATAAATTAATTTTTTTTAAAAAAAGGAAAAGAAATAGTGACCAGAGGGAGATACAAGGTAACGGGCAGAGTCAGAGCTGAACCAGAGCGTGAAGGTCGCAGAGCAAGCAGACCAGGACTGTGAAGAAAGGCCGTCAGCCTCTGACACTGTCCCAGATCCCGTCTTGGAGCATCTGTGCGCCTCCTGGCATGGCCCACTTGGAGCCCTCAGGTGGCGGTCGTCATGGAGGGGGTGGCAGTGCAGGCCGACAAGCCATTCTAAGGGACAGCAATTACTTTGTCAACTCTTTGGTAACGATATTAAAAAGAAATAAAACTGGGACGTGAAGATAAGAAAAAGTCAGAATGATCAATGGGGCTTTTTCATAGCTCTTCTTCGTAAACATGAAAAGGCAGAGACCTGGGTGGTGGTGACTCAGTGTTAGTAATGGAGTGAGAAGCATTTTTTTAAGGGACTTGTCAGGACAGCGTGAGCACAGGGACCCTGGGAGCTGGATGTATTGCCTTAGGGCCCGGCTATTCCAATTGAGGGCTGACCTGCTGTGATGGAGGCCCTTGTTAAGTAGTTTGAACTTGGCGTGTTGTAAGAATAAACTTGCTCTGGAACCGAATTAATTTTCTATCTCATAGACACAAATCCCTTAAAAAAAAAAAAGTCTGAAGTATTGCAGCATCCAAACTGGACGAGATTTTTCCTTCCTAAAATCCATTTGATTGTCATCAATCTGCCATATATCCCATGGACCTTCACTTCAATTCTGTAATGTTTTTGTTTTGTTTTGTTTTGTTTTTGTTTTTGCGGTACGCGGGCCTCTCACCGTTGTGGCCTCTCCCGTTGCGGAGCACGGGCTCCGGACGCGCAGGCTCAGCGGCCATGGCTCACGGGCCCAGCCGCTCCGCGGCATGTGGGATCTTCCCGGACCGGGGCACGAACCCGTGTCCCCTGCATTGGCAGGCGGACTCTCAACCACTGCGCCACCAGGGAAGCCCCTGTAATGTTTTTAATTATGTTTGAGGCACTACGTTATCTTGTTATGGCTCTAGCCTGAAGACTAGTTAATGAAATAATAATGATAGTCCTTGCCCTCATCTAGTCCTTTTTACTTAAGAACCTTAAATATTTCAGGAGACTTCCCCAGTGATTCTTCTCCAAAGGATAGATGGCAACCATTGATGAAGACAAGCAGACATCACAGCTGGGGGGACTTCAAAGACACAACTAGAAGTAGGACCAAGGATCCTGATTTTCTAACTCACAATGCCATGGGTTAAATTTCACTCATTCAAGAGTCCTTAGTCGTAGACAGAGTATAAGCGACGGTTCCCTCTTCAGAATCGTTGTTTTTCCCCTAATGTGAATCCTGAAATGTAGTGATACACTATTTTTTTATCATTAGTGAACCAGACATCAGTGATTTTCACATGTTCTTTGTGAATGACAGTGTTTGAATTCTAAAGCTGCATTCTAACCCCAAACTGTCTGGACTCACACCTGGTAGGAGAGACAGAGAAGCCCCAGTTCCATTCAGCAGACAGAGTCAGAGAAAACATGCTCCTGGGATTCAGCCTTTTAGAGAACACTGAACGGAGCATTTGAACCGAAAGTCTTTGCAATTGCACAAGAATAGCCCTCAACTACTTTAAGTATTTATAGGTCTGGTTCATGGACATGTTATGCACTATTTAAGCCATTTTCCACACGGTTTCCTTGGGCAGAATGCAGAATGCCGTGTGCCAGGAGCCAAGCACCAGCCCGGGCCGTTCCTTTTTCTCTGGTGTAAGTGACAAGCTTTAGATCAGGGCCTGAAGTGAGAGAGTAAACAGAGAGCAAAGCTGGCTCAGTCAGGAGAAAATGGGCAGAACGGTTCAAATGTGCGTGTTTGAGCTTTTATGACCAGCTCAGCTTCCCATCATACACCTGTTAATTTTAACAGTGGGTACCTTCGGGTATCAAAAAGAAGATAAAACTTCAGCAGGCTATCTTTTGACAAGGCAATTTTATAACGTCACCAGGAAGCACTGGTGAAGAAGGAAAAATTTCGTGGAAGTATTATTTTTATTTATTTATTTTTTTTGCGGTACGCGGGCCTCTCACTGTTGTGGCCTCTCCCGTTGCGGAGCACAGGCTCCGGATGCGCAGGCTCAGCGGCCATGGCTCACGGGCCCAGCCGCTCCGCGGCATGTGGGATCTTCCCGGACCGGGGCACGAACCCGTGTCCCCTGCATCGGCAGGCGGACTCTCAACCACTGTGCCATCAGGGAAGCCCGAAAGCATTATTTTTAAATAATAAATGTAATTTCTAAAATACTATAGACTTAGCTAATGTAAAAACGACACTTAGTTACTCTACTTTCATTCTTGATCATGAAATCCAAACCTTTAACTTCTGTAATAGAGGGAGAGAGATGGCTTCCGTTGACCCACTGAAAACTATCTTACAATCTTGGTTGTAAATCAACTGTTGTAACTTTTGATGATGAGATTTCAGATCCTTTGGAAAATAAAAGTCATCAGTAAAAGGAATTTCAAGCGGTAGGTTCTCCCTTCGTGGTACATCATTCTGCTTAAAATGAGATGTTCTTCATCTGCTCTTGGCCCAAAAAGAGGCAGATCGTAGAATAATGAAGTAGTTCCCTCTTGCCCCTCCCCCCAGCCACTTGTCCCTCAGGTAAATCAGAAAGAGAAACGTTAAATGCTGCTCCCAAAACATCACTGCATGCCAAGTCCCCAAAGAAGTTTCACTGCAGACTTTAAATGCCTTAAATAAGGTCTTCAGGCTTTCGAAAAGGTTTGGGAGAACAGACCAGGGGGGTTTCTCACCTATCTCCAAGTTCAGTGTTTCTGTGGGCAGCAGTAAATGAAATCCCCTCCCTCATCAGCCACCCTGCCCAGCACCCCGCCCTCTACCCTCATGTCACATGCATCACATTCTTGCAAAAGTCCTAGTTTCCCAGTATCACCAATACCTGGAGTTTGAGACTCTAGGAAATTGTGTCTTTAATTAAAGCCACCTCCAGGTAAAAACAGCAGAGCAGTTACTCTTATTACACCAGGTTTCCTAGATGTGAGCTGGGAGGGTTTGGACCAGAGCATGAAAACGCAACCCTACACTGTTATCAGTATCTTGTCACAAAACAGCCCTGTTCTTAAAAGTGACTACAAACTGCAAGGCAAGCCCAGACGGGAGGTTGGAGATTTGGGTGTTAACAGGTATGTCTTCATCTCAAGTGTCTTAGGTCTTATAGTGGCAGCTTGTGGCATCTCCCCAGGGCCTGAGAAGAGTTCCTTTCAGCAGCAAAAGGGATCTTACAGCATGTGTTCAATAGCACCCACATGACCTCCTTGGGAAGCAGAATTCCTCATGGCTTAAAGATGCTTTCAGAGAAAATGGAGAAAAAAGTACTAGATGGACAGGTGGATTTAAGGGCTCAGTCAACAAGAAAGTCCTGAAGTCGACTAGCTGGAAGGAAAAGAGAGAAAAGAAAGGAAAGGAAGTGAATCGAGGGCGTTTGGTCCTGATGCCGGTAGTGACCGCATCCAAACTGTGAGCAGTAAATGTATTTTTATTATTAACGTCGCGTCTCTGTGTTCTGAACTCAGTTGTGTCCGCAGTACTGGCCAGAGAATGGAGTCCACAGACACGGCCCCATCCAGGTGGAATTTGTTTCTGCTGACCTGGAAGAAGACATCATCAGCAGGATATTCCGAATTTACAACGCAGCCCGAGTAAGATCCGCAGCCACCGTGGCTGGTGTTGTGGTTTCATGATTTTCTCATTCATTGAATAGGTAGAGTGTCTGTGTCAGTCACCGTTCTGGGAGCTTGGAGTCTCTTCAAGGAGTTTGTGAACTCACTGACCTTATGGAGCTTATGTTCTAAAGGGAGAAGACAGACAGGAGAGGATAAAGACAACGCATATCCTACTAGATTTGTTAGCAAGCAGTGGGTGCTGTAGGAAAAAAAGTGGGGAGGCAGAAGGTGCCGGGGCCTGGACCAGAGGGAGAGCAGATGTGCCAGGTGAGCAAAGGCCCGACTGGAGTGAAGGGCCAGCCATGTGCTCTCGTGCAGGCAGCTCTGCAGGCAGAAGTGACAGTCAGTGCAAGGCCCTGAGGTGGGGCCTTGTTGGTGACTTCCTGGAACAGTAAGGAGGCTGATGCGGCTGCAGCCCAGGAAGCGAGGGTGGGAATAGCTGCTGGGGCCGAAGTCCGAGGGGTCGAGGGGACAGAGATCACGTAGGACCTTGCAGGCCACTGCCAGGACTGGGGCTTTTGCTGTGAAGGAAAGAAGGAGCCGTTACAGGGTTTTGAGTAGAAGAGTCATGAGCTATGACCTGCCGTTTAAAAGGCGCACTCTGGCTTCTGTGTTGAGAACAGACAGTAAGAGAGACGCATCAGGAGGCTCTTATAATAATCCAGGCAAGAAGGGACAAAGCAGGACGGAGTGGCAGCAGGGGGAGGGGTGGGAGGTGCAGACACTGATGTATTTTGACGGCAGAGCCGATGGGATTGGCCGATAGTTTGGATCCCAGGGAGCCAAGGTGGTTCTCAGGATTTGGGTCCTGAGAGCTAGATGGAGCAGACATTAACCAGGTTAGGAAAGGCTGTGCGGGTAACGGGATTGTTAGGGGTGGGGGAACGCATGGACAGAGGGTCCGTTCAGGGGGGGAACATACTGGATTCAAGATGACTATTAGATGCCTATGTGGGAATATCAATAGGCCCTCGAGTCTGTGAGGGTGCAATTCAGGAGAGAGGTCTGAACTGGAGACACAGATTGAGGACTTAATGGAAGATTTAAAGCCATGAGACTGAATGAAACTATCGAGAGAGAACTGAGCATGGGGCCTCCATCAGCAAGAGGTCTGGGAGGAAGGGGGCCAGGGCGGAGAGGAGAGAGCAGTGAAGGGGGAAGAACAGCCAGGAGGGGAAGGGGAGAGTGAGATCCCCTGTGTCGGGTGCTACCCGACAGCCGCAGAGGATTTAGCCCGAGAGGTTTAGCCATGACCAGGTTACTTCCTGAATCCTGCAATTCCATTTAATTATGATGAAAGATTAATTAACTATTGATATCTTAGCAAGAGTCACACCAAGAAGCAGAACCATATTCTACTCCCAGGAAACAGGGTGTAATCTGTGTCTCCCTGAGATCACAAACATTGCCAGGTCATAACTTATCCTTTACCTTTAATTTACCTGTAATTAAAGTCAAGCCTTTTTACCACTTGCTGCCCACTGTGGTCAGTGCTCAGGTTGGCGCCATTTTTCACAAAACTGTGTGAGCAAAGGCCCAACCGGAGTGCAGGGGCCCTTTTGCAAAGCAATAGCATTCTGCTTGCTTTTATTTGTCTGGCCTGTCATTGGAAACACATGGATTTTTTTTTAACACCTTCATTGGAGTATAATTGCTTTTCAGCGTTGTGTTAGTTTCTGATGTATAACAAAGTTAATCAGCTATATGTATATCCCCATATCCCCTCCCTCTTGCGTCTCCCTCCCACCCTCCCTATCCCACCCCTCTCGGTGGTCACAAAGCACTGAGCTGATCTCCCTGTGCTATGCAGCTGCTTCCCACTAGCTATCTATTTTACGTTTGGTAGTGTATATATGTCAATGCTACTCTCTCACTTCGTCCCAGCTTACCCTTCCCCCTCCCTGTGTCCTCAAGTCCATTCTCTACGTCTGCATCTTTATTCCTGTCCTGCCCTTAGGTTCATCAGAACCTTTTGTTGTTTTTTTTTAAAATTCCATATATATGTGTTAGCATACAGCTTTTGTTTTTCTCTTTCTGACTTACTTCACTCTGTATGACAGACTCTAGGTCCATCCACCTCACTACAAATAACTCAATTTCGTTTCTTTTTATGGCTGAGTAATATTCCATTGTATATATGTGCCACATCTTCTTTATCCATTCATCTGTCAATGGACACTTAGGTTGATTCCATGTCCTGCCTGTTGTAAATAGTGCTGCAATGAACATTGTGGGACATGACTCTTTTTAAATTATGGTTTTCTCAGGGTATATGCCCAGTAGTGGGATTGCTAGGTCATATGGTAGTTCTATTTTTAGTTTTTTAAGGAACTCCATACTGTTCTCCATAGTGACTCGATTATCAATTTACATCCCCACCAACAGTGCAAGAGGGTTCCCTTTTTTCCACACCCTCTCCAGCATTTATTGTTTGTAGATTTTTTGATGATGGCCATTCTGACTGGTGTGAGGTGATACCTCATTGTGGTTTTGATTTGCATTTCTCTAATGATTAGTGATATTGAGCATCTTTTCATGTGTTTGTTGGCAATCTGTATATCTTCCTTGGAGAAATGTCTGTTTAGGTCTTCTGCCCATTTTTGGATTGCATTGTTTGTTTTTTGATATTGAGCTGCTTGTATATTTTGGAGATTAATCCTTGGTCAGTTTCTTCATTTGCAAATATTTTCTCCCATTCTGAGGGTTGTCTTTTGGTCTTGTTTATGGTTTCCTTTGCTGTGCAAAAGCTTTGAAGTTTCATTAGGTCCCATTTGTTTATTTTTGTTTTTCTTTCCATTTCTCTAGGAGGTGGGTCAGAAAGGATCTTGCTGTGATTTATGTCATAGAGTGTTCTGCCTGTGTTTTCCTCTAAGAGTTTTATAGTGTCTTGCCTTACATTTAGGTCTTTAATCCATTTTGAGTTTATTTTTGTGTATAGTGTTAGGAAGTGTTCTAATTTCATTCTTTTACACGTATCTGTCCAGTTTTCCCAGCACCACTTATTGTAGAGGCTGTCTTTTCTCTATTGTATACTCTTGCTTCCTTTATCAAAGATAAGGTGACCATATGTGCATGGGTTTATCTCTGGGCTTTCTATCCTGTTCCATTGATCTATATTTCTGTTTTTGTGCCAGTACCATACTGTCTGGATTACTGTAGCTTTGTAGTATAGTCTGAAGTCTGGGAGCCTGATTCCTCCAGCTCCATTTTTCTTTCTCAAGATTGCTTTGGCTATTCAGGGTCTTTTGTGTTTCCATACAAATTGTGAAATTTTTTGTTCTAGTTCTGTGAAAAATGCCATTGGTAGTTTGATAGGGATTTCATTGAATCTGTAGATTGCTTTGGGTAGTATAGTCATCTTCACAATGTTGATTCTTCCAATCCAAGAACATGGTATCTCTCCATCTGTTGGTATCATCTTTAATTTCTTTCATTAGTGTCTTACAGTTTTCTGCATTCAGGTCTTTTGTCTCCTTAGGTAGGTTTATTCCTAGGTATTTTATTCTTTTTGTTGCAATGGTAAATGGGAGTGTTTCCTTAATTTCTTTTTCAGATTTTTCGTTGTTAGTGTATAGGAATGCAAGAGATTTCTGTGCATTAATTTTGTATCCTGCTACTCTACTACATTCATTGATTAGCTCTAGTAGTTTTCTGGTAGCATCTTTAGGAAGCTCTATGTATAATATCATGTCATCTGCAAACAGTGACAGCTTTACTTCTTTTCTGATTTGGATTCTTTTTATTACTTTTTTCTTCTCTGATTGCTGTGGCTAAAACTTCCAAAACTATGTTGAATAATAGTGGTGAGAGTGAGCAACCTTGTCTTGTTCCTGATATTAGAGGAAATGGTTTCAGTTTTTCACCATTGAGAACGATGTTGAATGTGGGTTTGTCATATATGGCCTTTATTATGTTGAGGTAGGTTCCCTGTATGCCTACTTTCTGGAGAGTTTTTAGCATCACATGGTTTTTTATAATGGCTCCAGATTGAAACTCGTAACTCTTTGGGCCAGTAGACGTTTCCTTCGTTATTTACAGGCAGGCCCCTCCTTCCCTCGTGCCCACTAGGATGAGTAGGTGGGATCAACCCGCTGGAGTTCAGCCCCGGGAATAATGCCTGCTTTCTCTCCACTCCCCGCTTGTTGCCCGACTCTCTGCAGCCCCAGGACGGGTACCGGATGGTGCAGCAGTTCCAGTTCCTGGGCTGGCCCATGTACAGGGACACGCCTGTGTCCAAGCGCTCCTTCTTGAAGCTCATCCGCCAGGTGGACAAGTGGCAGGAGGAATACAATGGTGGGGAAGGCCGCACGGTTGTGCACTGCCTGTAAGTGCTCAGATCCCCTGGGCTGACGCCCTGCTTCACTGCCTCTCAATTCAATATAAATGGAGAAGAAATAAGCAGGTCTGAGTGAAAGCTCACCAGTCCGCTCATTAAGTGTTTGGTTTGCTTTGCAGAAAACAAGATCATGCACGTTTTACATTTGGATGGGGTGTCGCTGCTATAAAATGAGCCCTGACCTTGTGGTTGGGAGCCAACCCCCCCACCTCAGAAAAACAATACCTGGGTGGGTTCAGTGAGCTCCTACCAGCTCTTGAGAGCCCATTGTTAAGCTTTGGGGAATTTTCTGAGCTGGTTGTTAAACTGTTGGTAACTTGAAATCATCGGTGGTGGGGGTATTTACATCACGGATGTCAGCAAAGGGCACAATCCGGGCACCCTCCCTGATATGGAAAAGCTGGTTTACCAGCTCACTAGTTGGTAATTCTATTGGATTTCATGTCAGAGGTTTCAAAGGAACCGTCTCCTTCTTCTTTGTGGTTTTAAGACAGTTTTGTTTTGTCTCATTTTGTTTGCCTGGGGATATATATATATTGGGAAGATGTGCTTACAGCCAGTGTCTCCAAACTGGTCTCCAGGCTGGCAGTTTTAGCAGGTGCTAAAACGGGAGAACTTGGCTACAGAATAATGGTTTCCGACCTTGGCTGCACATTTGGGGAGCTTTAAAAAAAAAAAAAACACTACGCCCAGGCCACAGCAAAACCACCTAAATCAAAACCTCGGGGGGTGCGAGGACCTGGATTGTTTCAGAGTGCCCCCAAGGTTGAGAGCCACTGGCTCGAGTCTCCGTGCTTTTCAAAGCACTTTCACCTGCATTTTCTCGTAGGTGATGGTAGCAGCTAATCTGCCAGTTGGAGCTGGCTTAATGGAGCCAGCGATTAGAAAGCCCTGCAGTCAGGGGAGATGGGTAGAGAATTTGTGGAAACTGAAAGTATTAAGCTGATGTCTCTTTTCGGTGGAGTGTTATTAGAAGCGCACAGTGAGATCTCTCCCGAACTGAAAGGAAGATAAAGCTCTACTCCGGGCAGACCGACCCTTGTGAAATCAACAGGCGAAGCAAAGGGCTGGGTTACCGTCCACTCAGTGCTGTATCTCCCGCAATGCAGCCCCCGTACCCCAAACCCCACCCCCACCCCGGGGTCTGGGAGCCTCCCTGGGAGCCCCTTTCGGCACCGAACGTGGCAGTGTCTCGTCCTGCAGGAAACTGCTGTGCCCTCGGAAAGAATCGTATGAACTGACTCATCCCTGCCCTCCGTCAGAGGCCCCACCCCCAAAACCTTGCCTTCCTTCTCAGGGACCCAGTTCATTAAAAACATCTCCACGGAGAAAATGTCCAAAAGGATCGATTAACAGCTCACGTCCCCGTTTTTATTTCTCTACGCCCAGATATAACTTCTGATCAGAATATAATCAGAGGGTCACCTGTGTGAGTTCATACAAGCCCAGCAAGGAAAACTGACATTTTGGTTAGAGTTTGTATTCGATCCGTTAGGTTTCTTGGAGATACTAAAAATAGTTTGCAGTTACCGATTTCTGCGTCTGGACTCCACCAGCGTCTGGACTAGGAATGCCACGCTTCCTAGTAGCTTCCTAACAAGGGCCAGTGCCGTAACCCAAAGGGCTACATCCCAAGAGGGGAGCTGAGGTACAGGACAGGCCTGAGGGGAAGACACAAAGACCCCTTGAATCACTGCACTTCATAGCCATACTCTCCCAAGGCACAGCTGCGACCCCGAACTAAACCATTACATCACCACCCCACGTGGTGGCTAAGACAGTGGGCTGTTCTTTAACTCCAGTGGACGTGGTGGGCACCTGCTGCTTCTGCCCTCCGACCGGCCCAGCCCCCACCCCCCTGGACTTTTCTTTGGAAACACCGTCCCCACCAAAAGTCCCTGCTGTTCCTGTGGGGCTGCCTCGTCCTCTCTCAGCATTACGGTGGGCATGAGACCCAGGCCTGCTGAGGATGCTGATCGTTGTTGAGATTTAAAAATCTTAATCTAAGGTTTTTTAGTTGTGGGAACATGCCAGGAAGGGATGCTTTGACCCCCAAAGGCAACCTGCTTTCCATCTCTAAGGAGAGATTTTCGTATTCGGCAAACCGCAGCGCCACCTACTGGCATTGGGCAGAGCGTCCCTGCCCGAGACGCCCTCCAGGGCTGTGAATTAGATGGTTCCTTGAGCCGCATTATGGCTCGCACTAGGCAAACGGGATTCTTTTTCTTTACACATGTCTTCCAGCTAGTAAAACCAGACAGAATGGAGAGAATTAAGATATCACCATCTTTCAACCCTTGATGAAAGTAATGGAAGTAGACAGTGGTCGTCGATAGCTGCTGAAAACGTTAGGTAAAAAGCCGATGGGGGAAAAGCAGTGAGGCGTCAGTGCAAAGAGAGAACACAAACTAAGGGAGCAGAAGAGAAAGTCCAGGAACGGAGCCACACCTCGGGGTCTCCTGATTCACAACAAGGTCCACAGCACACACCTACTGCAGGGCAGTGGTGTCTCTTCTCATGCTAAACACAGAAAGCATCTCCAGGTGGATTGTAGACCAACACATGAAAAGGAAAACAATGAAGCTTCTAGAGAAAATCTTCAAGACCATGGGGTAACCAGAGATGTGTTACACAGGACAGTATCCATACAGGAGAACATTGGTAAATTGGATTTCATTAAAGCTGAGCACTCCTGTCCATCCAAAGACCCCAGCGAGAGCGAAAACACAAGGCAAGACAAAGAGCTTTGCGCTACATACATCTGACAAAGGATTCATAGCCAGAATGCCTAAGAACTACTGCAAGTCAATAGGAAAAGGATAGACACTCCAATTGTTTGGGCAGAACACTTGATAAGAGCTGCATTTTTTAAAAAAGAATAGCCAGATAGCCAATAAGCATAGAAAAGGCATCATTAGTTTTCAGGAAAATACACATTAAAATACATTAAAATCGAATGCCCCTGCATGCTCACCAGAATGGCTAAAATTTAAACGATAAACAAATAAATGATTCTAAGTGTTGGGAAGCTGTGGAAAAACTGGACTCCCAAATGCTGCTGGTAGGAAGTAAATATGTACAACCATTTTGGAGCTGGTTAACAGCATCTACTAAAGCTAAATATAAATGTATCCTCTGAGCTCTTCTCCTCCGAGGTCTGTGACTACAGAAATGAGTCATATATGCAATAGGAAACATGCTTATAGCAGGTATACTCATAATATGGAAAGCTGCAAACATCCCAAACATTTGTCAGCTCCTAGATAAAGAAATTATACAGTAGTACAATTATACAGTAGTATATCCATTCAATGGAATTGTTCTCAGCAATGTAAGAGAACAAACTACTGATACGATATGGGTTATTCTCACACAGATAATATTAAGTGAAATAAGCCACTCAAGAGAGTATATACTGTATGATTCCACGTATTCAAAATTCCAAAACAGACAAAAGAAACTTATGATGCTAGACGTGAGAACAAAGATTATCTTGGGGTATTGATGGTGTTGATGAGGAAGGAATATTGGGAGGAGGGGGGTTCAGGGGGCTGATAGCAGTCTGTACCTTGATCTGAATGGTGGTTACATGGCATATGCATTTGTAGAAGTTAACAGAGATCTACATTTACCGTTTGTGGACTTAATTATAGGTTTGTTATACTTTATCTAAAAAATTGATTAGGAACTTAATCATGGAATGATCAAGCTGGCATTGGAACACAGAGATCAATCTTAAAATCACAGAACAGGTTGCTATCTTGTGCCTGCTTCCCAATGAAAGTTCATTTATAAAGTATCCTTGTCCAGAAAAAAAATCCTGAATTCTTATGACGCTCTGGAGCTAACTCCCAATAAACAGGAAGTATAGGATTAGAAATTGGTGTGTTAAGTGCTTCTCAGAGATACAGTGAATGAGAACAACCCAGAATGTGGGTTGTCATTTTCCCTGCAGGGGAAAATGACCCCATTTCCTCAACAAATAAATTGCCAAGAGAGAAAAAGAAGAGAGCAAAGAGGAACCTATAGATTAAAATAAACTTGCAAGACATGTCAACCAAATTCAACACGTGGACTTTGCTTGGATGAGGATTTGAAAAAGTTAGCTGTAAGAAAATGTCTGAAACAATCTTGGAAATTTGTACAGTGTCTAGAAATTTGATTCTATTAAACTGTAGTGTTTATTTTAGGTGTAATAATAATGATATTGTGTTTGTTAAAAAAAGGATCCTTTATCTACTTGGAAAAGAGGTTGATTCCAGAGCTGGTGCAGGGAAGGAGATACAGGATGAGCGTAGAACATCTTGTGGTTCTAGAAAGTAAGGAAGTGCTTGAAAAGAGATGGAGGAACCAGCCTGATGGAGCTCCTACTGGCCCAAACCGGAACAATTTCAGCAACAAAATAAATATGGATACTATTTTAGCTCATAGAAGTGAAATTAATATGTATAAGTCTAAAGTGACAAATAAATAATAAAATAGAAATAAATAAGCAAATAAATTTTCAAATGGTGGCTGAGAGACAGCTCTCTCTTTAGAGTAGAATGTAGAAGGAGAGAGGGAAGTGAAAACCAGTCAGGCAGATACCACTGTGACTTGTTGCAGATGGGATCTACCAATGGACACTAAAATCAGCCGGTGAAACTTTGAGGAGAAACAAGATATTTGCATAATCCCAAAGTATCTTTCCCAAGATACTTACTAACTACAAAGAGAAGTTATGAGAAGTTATGATGGTAATTTACATAACTACACAGTGAAAAAATCTGCCAGACACCCACCGTCTTAATAAGCGACCAGGGGTGGGATAGGCAGGGTCGGAGGGAGGCTCATGAGGGAGGGGACATAGGGATGTATGTATATGTATAGCTGATTCACTTTGTTACACAGCAGAAACTAACACACCATTGTAAAGCAATTATACTCCGATAAAGATATTTTAAAAAGAATATAGTAGAATACAACATTGTAAATCAACTATACTTCAATAAAATAAATTTAAAAAAAAGAATATAGTAGAAAAGGCAAAGAAAAAAAGTGACCAAGGTCGACATCACGAGCAATAAGACAGTTCAACACCATGAACCTTCAAAGGAGGTAACAGCCCTTCTGTGGCTTTCTTGCCAAAGTGCATAACCTCATTTCCAGTGATGAGAAGGCATCAGACGAACTCAAATGAAGGACTTTCTACAATTTGTATTTTGTGATGACTTCTCAAATCGTGGAAGGGGACCATGGCTGTTTTCTACATCTCACTCTATTTTCCATACTCTACAAAATAACTGACCAGTCCTCTTTGAAAGTGTCAAGGTCAAGAAAGACAAGGGAAGATGGAGGACTGATCACGTGGAAGAGACTAAGGAGGTGTGACACCTAAATGCAAGGTGGGTCCTGGACTGGATCCTGGACCAGAAAAAGTGGTGACACTTGACTAAGGTCTGTAGTTTAGTTAATAGTGTTATACCAGCATTAACTTCCTGGTTTTGACCATCTGCTATGGTTATGTGACATTTTTACATCGGGGAAGGTGGGCAGGCAAGGAACTCTCTGTGCTATTTTTGCAGTGATTCTGTACATCTAAAATTAATCCAGAATAAAAAGTTTATTTAAAAAGAGCCCTTATGTTTTAGAGATAAATCATGACATGCTAATGGATTGTTTAAGGCCGAATCCATCTTTGAGCATAACCCACACCCATCACAGTTTTCCTGCACATGCTACACGAGTTGTTCGTTTATTGAGAATTTTCCTGGGTGGTCCCTTTCCATAAAAACGGGTAAATTGCCATATCAAGTTACATCATCAGGGCAGAGACGAACTGGGAGAGCAGGATGTGCCAGTTTCGCATCACCTCCAGTCAGGTGACCCCTGGGCCCCATTTGCATCAGTAGAGGGATGGGCCCAGGTGGAGAGTCCCAGCCGGGAGGGCTTAGGCAGCAGGTGCACACAGGTGGTGGGAGCCGTGCGGTACGAGAGCGACCCAGGCCCACCACCGGCCTCTCCTCCTCTTCCCACAGGAACGGGGGAGGCCGCAGCGGGACCTTCTGCGCCATCAGCATTGTCTGTGAGATGCTCCGGCACCAGAGGACGGTGGACGTCTTCCACGCCGTGAAGACGCTGAGGAACAACAAGCCCAACATGGTGGACCTGCTGGTAGGACCCCGTCCATCCCACTCGGGGGACCCTTTCCCAGTTAGCGTGAGACACCCGGCCCCTCGCTCAGGCTGACCCCTGGGAGGGAGAGACTCGTGTTCACAGTGCAATCACTTCACTCGTGCAGGTTTTTCTCCCTCGTTCTCCCTTCCTCTGCCTTTTCACAAGGAGACTCAGCTCAGCACATTTGACACATGGAAATAGTTGAAACTCACAAGCGAACATCCTGATTAATTGCCGTTCTCCGCAGTGCCTTCCACGTGGCTGAGCACTTCATCTTCACAGAGAAGAAATAATCATAGCACATGAAATGCCAGATTTTCAAATTACATATTTTATAAATAGCTTAATCACCTAATATTTATCAAAGCTGGGAATTGGAGTTTGACATCCAGACGATTGCATTTAATTACGGTGGCCATATCTGAGGAAAGGATGAAAGAGGTGGAGAAACAAAGGACGATGTGGAATTATTTACTTAGAGTATTTCATGAAATCTCTTTTTTGTGCGGAGCTGTTGAGATACCAACCACTGAGACTCAAATAGGAGGATAGCTTAAAGGAGGAAGCTTTTCGATGAGGTTTTTGTACTTCTCTGTCAGTGCAGGAAGGATCGGGAGGAAACAGACCGACCCCAAGGTGGGGAGAATGGGCGGGGGCGGGGGCGACAGGGTCACCGATGAGCTTGGAAAGCCTGCATCCTGGGTGCGCAGCACTGCCGCAGGGGGTTGAAATTGTAAATGTAATAAAGGGACTAAAGAGGGAGTTGAGATTCAAGCTGAGGCTGAAGCAGCAGCCATGGCCCCTGCCTGTGATGGCCACATCCGAGCCCTGCTTGGCAAAAGCCCTGCTTCCCCCACTGACGTGCCTCGCGCCCAACGAGCTGCTCCCGCCCCCAGGAGCACCGTGCTGCCCAGGGAATTTGTAAACAGGCACCTGTTTGGCCAGGTGCAGACTCTCAAACCATCAGCAATTACCATGTTGGTTTCTGTGAGAAAAGGATCTTGCCCCCCACGTGGCAGCTCCCTTCCCTGCCCTGCCCTGGGGACGCCCCTGCAAACCCACCCTCTAGTCTCAGCTCTGCTCATTGGAGTGAAGTAACCTCAGACAAAGTACCTTGGCTATTGAAGTCGCCTTGGGCACGTCGCTCTACTTTCCTGAGCCTGAGTCATGTAAATTAGGGATAGTGTTGGTTTGTTGAGATCATCCCAAATGATGATATGTGTGATAGTGTTTTGGAAGCTGCCCAGGTGAGAAAGACCTGGTCCCTGAGAGTGGGGGGGTCTACGGGGCACGGTGTGGCCTGGTCCCTGAAAACGAGTGCTGGGTGAGGGCGAGGGGGCCACCGGAGTGCAGCATGTATACACACGGTGCTCGTAAGTGCCTTTCCCACGGCCCAGATGTCACGAGGATGGGCCAGGAGGCAGACCCTCACATTCCATGCCCGGACTTCACTAGTCAGAGAACTCTCTCACTCCCCGGGACCACCCCCATCCCGAATTTTAAAGAGTTTCCCCACCATGGAATTCTCCATCTTCTGGGCTTAGGGCAGTTGAGAAAAGGCCAGTCGGGCAGTTAGAGGCGGCCTGAGTTTAGAACAGATAAGCAGATTGACAGAGGATGGAAACAAATGCATAATGAAAATATTCTGACTGTGATGTCGTTCGGTATTTAACGCCCTGATTCAGGGACGGGTGTGTTGCTTCCAAACTTCAGTTGGTACTTGAAAAAAGCTGACCTTGATTTTTTTTTTTAATTTTAGTTCCCTCTCACTGTAGCCTGAACTAAGCAGGTCATTAGAAGCAGACCCTTCCAGGCCTTTCCCCCAGTGGCTCTGGCTACAGCTTCCATCACTCACCAATTTTTTTTTTTTTTTACATCTTTATTGGAGTATAATTGCTTTACAATGGTTTGTTAGTTTCTGCTTTATAACAAAGTTAATCAGTTATACATATACATATGTTCCCATATCTCTTCCCTCTTGCGTCTCCCTCCCTCCCACCCTCCCTATCCCACCCCTCCAGGCGGTCACAAAGCACCAAGTTGATCTCCCTGTGCTATGCGGCTGCTTCCCACTAGCTATCTACCTTACGTTTGGTAGTGTATATATGTCCATGCCTCTCTCTCGCTTTGTCACAGCTCACCCTTCCCCCTCCCCATATCCTTAAGTCCATTCTCTAGTAGGTCTGTGTCTTTATTCCTGTCTTACCCCTAGGTTCTTCATGACATTTTTTTTTCTTAAATTCCATATATATGTGTTAGCATATGGTATTTGTCTTTCTCTTTCTGACTTACTTCACTCTGTGTGACAGACTCTAGGTCTATCCACCTCATTACAAATAGCTCAATTTCGTTTCTTTTTATGGCTGAGTAATATTCCATTGTATATATGTGCCACATCTTCTTTATCCATTCATCCGATGATGGACACTTAGGTTGTTTCCATCTCCGGGCTATTGTAAATAGAGCTGCAATGAACATTTTGGTACATGACTCTTTTTGAGTTATGGTTTTCTCAGGGTATATGCCTAGTAGTGGGATTGCTGGGTCATATGGGAGTTCTATTTGTAGTTTTTTAAGGAACCTCCATACTCTTCTCCATAGTGGCTGTACCAGTTCACATTCCCACCAGCAGTGCAAGAGTGTTCCCTTTTCTCCACACCCTCTCCAGCATTTATTGTTTCTAGATTTTTTGATGATGGCCATTCTGACTGGTGTGAGATGATATCTCATTGTAGTTTTGATTTGCCATCACTCACCAATTTTTATGGGCAGGAACAACGTGGCTTTTCCCAAATCCACGGTGCAGACTACAGGACAAGGGTGATTTTACATGAAGGAAGCTTCTGATCTCAGCCCACTTACCTATAATAGCCAGGGCGTTTCTGTAGTTATGTGTGATTCTGATAGAGAAATAGGATCCTTGGATGCCCCAAACCCCGAGGGTCAGCACCAGTTTTAGGGTCAACTCAGTGGCTGAGAAATGTAGGAGAGTCCTGCAATTTCCTGAGAAAAATGTCTGATAAACTTGTCACAGTGCCTGCTGGCGGGATAATGGATAATATCTGGTGACCAGAGAAAAAATGTCACGATGCGCTTTTCAGTGGGTTTGAAGCTTCTTGAGTTGAATCAGGGCTCTTGTCGTTGGCTTGTTTGTTTTTGCCTGTAAGTACAATTTCTGTTTAGTTTGGTACTCGTACATTTGTGTGTTGGCTGAGAGAATTAATTAATTCAAGTCAAGGAGATAAAATCTGGTATAATTTTATTGGGCATAAAAGGCCATCCAAGACCTGTGTTTCTCCTAAGCACAAAATGTTGTACCAGCAGCTGAAAAGGTACCTCCTAGCTGCCTCTGCGCAGAATGAAGTGGGAGCCAGGATGCCCTGGAGCGCACCCCAGGGTGGGCGTGGGGAGCCCCACCAGGTGCGCCTGGGTCTGCTCATTGGGGGCCCTTTCCATTCAGACACCAAAATTTGCTGCCACGCCCTCCCTGCCAGGGCCAGATGAATGTTCTGCGGCGGTCGGTGTGCCCATCTTCGTCTCCCCTTGCAGCTCACTATTTTTCCAAATTGCTTCTGAGTTAGGAACTTCCCTATGTGTTTTGAAGCATGGCACTCTCCAGGGAGAGCCAGAAGGCCCTATGGATTTATTTCTTCAAATGTTTAGGTGTGGAGGCTCCAGGGGAAAGCCAGTGGACTGCCAGGAAGCAAAATCATTTTAACACAAGACTAGATGTTTTGATGCAGCAGGGGCCGCTGGGTTTGTTTCCTGACCCCTCTTTCAGGCCAGCTTCTCGGTTATCCACCTCTTCAGCCAGGCTCCAGCTGCCATCAAAGGCCTGGGTTCCAGGGGGTGGGGCAGGCCGCGACGGTACAGCCTGAGTGAGGTTGGCGCTATTGGCCTGGTCAGAGGCGGATGGGGTCGTCCGCTCTGAGCTCCTATGAATCTAGTACAGTTGCTGGAAAACCTGCTGCTTCAACTAACAGTCCTCTCCCACCTTTGCTTCCACATTTGGCTTTTGAAGTTCCCAGGGCTCCTTTTTAACCGAGAAACAGCCTTTAGGGGACAGATCTTGCCTAGAGAAACATATTATCCCCTGGGAGGTGGTGGGAGCTTTGGCCAACGTGCTGATGTGACATACGTACGCATTATAGAGTGGTTACCAAGATCACGATAATCAGCCCATCTGTGGCCTCACAGAGTCAACACAGCTGACTGTGTGTGTGGTCAGAACCCTTACGATCGACGGTCAGCAACTTTCAAGGGTACGATTTCACATCATTAACTCTAGTCGCCGTGCTGCACATTAGAGCCGCAGAACTTACTGCTCTTACAACTGAAAATCTGTTCCCTCACCAGCATCACCCCACTTGTCCCTCCCCCGGCAGCCACAATTCTAGTCTCTGTCTCTATGAAATTGACTTTTCTTTAATGGGAGCTTTAAAAAGTTCTGAGCCCTGGGCCCATCCCCGAGACTCTGATCCAGTTGACGTGGGCCTGGCTTTTCAGCAGCGGTGGTACCAGCGCCCCAGGTGGCCCTAATGTGCAGCCGAGGTTAAGGAACCTAGTAGCTAGTTTAGAAAGGCCCTTGGCCCGTCTGCACGTGAGATCACCTGGGGCACCTCGCAAACACAGATGCCAGGCCACGGCCCAGAAGATTAGGGCAGTCGGAGCCCACGTGATGTGCTGCAGGGCAAGAAACACGGCTCAGGAGGATACGGAGGCTGTCCCTGACCTGCCACGTGGGCTGCAGGGCGAGGCTGGGCAGCTTCCTCTCCATCCCTCTTGCTCCCACTCAGACCTCTGCCAGGACCTCCCATGACGGGCAAGTGACCACCCAGACCAGGCCCCTTCCCTCTTCCCTGCACTGAAATAACATGCTGGCCCGGCACTCCTACAGAGGGCCTTACCCCCGCCCTGCAGCCTCCCCAGCGTGGACAGCACACTGACTCTCCCACTCACGTGTGTAAACTGCCCCCTAAGCCTCTGCCTGAGAACTCACGGGAAACTGATGGGCTATGTGAAAGCCGGGGCGTGTGGGCGTAGGTGTGGTGTATAGGTGTGTGTGGGTGTGTGCGTGTGTGGGCGGGTGTGCGTGTGTGTGTAGGTGTGCATGTGTGTGTGTGTAGGTGTGCATGTGTGGGTGTGTGTGCCTGTGTCTGGCTGTGTATGTGGGGCTGTGTGTATAGGTTTGTGTGGGTGTGGGTGTGTGTAGGTGTGCACGTGTGGGCGGGTGTGCATGTGTGTAGGTGTGTGTGGGTGCGTGTGTAGGTGTGCATGTGTGGGTGTGTGTGCCTGTGTCTGGCTGTGTATGTGGGGCTGTGTGTATAGGTTTGTGTGGTGGGTGTGGGTGTGTGTAGGTGTGCACGTGTGGAGGGTGTGCATGTGTGTGTAGGTGTGTGTGGGTGTAGGTGTGCATGTGTGGGTGTGTGTGCCTGTGTCTGGCTGTGTATGTGGGGCTGTGTGTATAGGTTTGTGTGGTGGGTGTGGGTGTGTGTAGGTGTGCACGTGTGGGCGGGTGTGCATGTGTGTGTGGGTGTGGGTGTTGCAGCAGAGGATGTAGGCCTCGGGGGGGGTGTCAGAGAGGCTCACTCACGTCCCTGAGCTGTGCCCCCACCGGCCATGTGGCCCGTCTCTGGGACACTGGTGGCATCCACGTCCCCCGGGGCCAGGCCCTGCCACGCATCCCCCCAGGCTCGCAGCCCTGAGCCCACTGACCTGCGGTCACACTCCCTGCTCCTGAGGAGTCTGTGTGAATGCCCTGTGCCCCCGCCCACGCCAGACTCTGATCCCCCAGAGGCAGAGCCCACCCCTGCCCCCCAGCCCCAGCTGAGCTCCTGGCTCCAAGGAGGGCCCAGTAAACATTTTCTGGGCGAGCAGACTTTTCTTCTCTGTACCTGGACCCGTGTCACCCTGAGTTGCTCCCTGGGACCCAGAAGGCGGCGGCTACAGGCTAACAGGTCTGCATAGGGAAGCAGCTGCATGGACTGTTCATGGGCTTTGAGGGAGGAGGTGCTTCAGACTCTTTCAGAGCTATAATGAGGGTAATGACCCACCCACCCATCGTCAGAGATGGGCAGCTGCCTCCCAGGTGTCTCCTGGGCACAATGGTTGGTCACTCAGTGTGACCCACTGGGAACGTTGAACCAAACGGTCCTACCCAGGATTATTGGCACAAGGGGACCACTTCCCCTCCTGACAGGCGCGTCAGTCAGAAGAATTTTTTTCCAGACTGAAGGATTTGTCAGCAAGGATCCAGCCGAAACTGAAGCTGGTGCTAGTTTCAAAAAGCAGGTGCGCGTGGGAGGGAAACTTTGCCCCAGGTGAGCCATGCAGACTCTTCTCTTTGAATCTTCTTAGGCGACGTGGGGTGTTTGAAGCGACAGACTGACCGTAGGGCCCCATTCTGCAGACACAGGCTGCCGTGCTGACAAAGGCACCGTCCAGCCCTTCAGGGGAGCCCTCTGCAGCCGCCCACTGACACCGTGGCCTCGTGCCGCCCCTCCGAGAGCAGGGACCTTTAAAGCGTGACCTCACTTAGGGTGCCCTTTCAAACTTCACTTTCTCCCCTTTTGTGGAAATAAGAGGTGGGTCTGGAGTGAAGGTGAGGTCAGGGGTCTTCGAGAGGAGTAGCTTGTTGCCCTGGTTACAGTCCAGCACAAAGATAATGTCACCCAAATCGGGAGATTCTGGGACCAAGGCATAAAAGTTCTTTTTTCCCTGAAGCACAGAGCTAGCTTGTGGGGCTTAATTATACTGTTCAAAAGCAAGGAACCTGAGAGAGGAAACCACCAAAGACGGGCCTATACCTGGTGATCAAGTGTAATCCGTTTGCAGTGTGGGAAGATTTCAGGCATTTCTCGAGGTGCTTGGGGGAGGAGACGCAGCAATTCATGGCCTTTCTGCTCGTTCCCCTTATTTTTCTGGTTCAGAAACCAGTCATCACAGAGTCTATGGGGGCTGGCAGCTTGCTTAGGAGGGATAAAATGAGAGAAAGAATTCATTTTGAAAACCATAGTCATGCCTATGACCAGGTACTTTCAGTGACGCCCCTACCACAGCCATCCCTCAGGATGAACCCGAGGGATTCAACCCTGGTTTCCTGGTTTCCTCACCTGCGTTGTGACCTGAGACCGGCAGCCACATGGCCCTCTAAGTGCATTTTTCTGTGTTAAGAGCATGGTTCATCGTCGGCGCTGAAACTAATTGCAAGAAGGGATTGATCTCTTAGTTTTCCATGAAAAAAAGAAAAAGAATTGTCTGTGTGATTCACAAAAACAGAGAAGTGATTGGAGTACTCCATAGCCAGCGTCAGCCAGTGAGCTGACAGCATAAGAATTTTGAAATTCAAATGATCTCTTTTAGATATTCTGAAAATGAAAGTATCAAACCCTGAAATAATAAATCCTGGAATGTGAATCAGAAAGTTTTAGTGTCACATATTTTTAGTGCCCTTAGGTGTGCTCCTAGGAGCGAAATCACTGGGTCATAGGGTGACCCTTCGGAGGGACCACCAGATGGTCGTCCAATGGGGCTGCACCATGTTACAGTCCTACCAGCAGTGTAGGAGGGTTCCAGTTTCTCCACAACCTCACCAGCACTTGATTTTGTCTGTCTTTTGTATTTTAGGCTGGCGGGTGTTAATGACATTGATGTTCAGTTTCATGGCGCCTTCGATGTGTTGAATGACCTGTTTACTTTGTCTTCGCCTCTAGATTGTAGGATCCTGAGGGCTGAGGCTATATCTTGAATTCCCCAGTCTCTAGCCTTAAATGTTAAATGGGTTGACTCAAAAGCTGCTAAACCCATTTTTTTGGTCACCATTTACATACACAACCAATGTTTGACCCCTAGCTGTGTGCCAGGCTCTTTGCTAAGGATGGTGTATTATCCACGGAGGGAGAGACCATGGCCCTTGTCTTCAAATAAATAGGTTGGTTTAGAGGGGCATTTAGAGAACAAAATGTAGGTGGAGAAAGAAAATTGCGATGACTAATTAGGCCCATATCAAAAAAAAAGGAAATTCCTTTTTTTAATTAATCTGGCAAACCCCAAAGTAAGAGGTGCATTTCCTTGGTCGTGGCCATCATATTGGATGTGAGACAGTGGTCCTGACCACACGGCTGGTGAAAGCCTCCCTCCGACTGAGGGGGAGGGGGGCCTGCCAGTTGCTGAGTGACTGGGCTGCTGCCAGGGGGCAGATGGAGGCGTCCTCAACCCCCGTGTCCCTCTGCTCGGTTCAGAGGCCACACCCAGGTGAGCATCGGTCAGCTCACGGCATAAACACAGGTGCCGAAGGCCCTCCCCTCCCACCTGAAACCCCACCTGGGCCAGGACCTCACACGGGGCTTGCTCAGGCCATGGTCCAGGATCTGAGAATTCTGTGCTCAAGAGAGATGAGCTCACTGCCCGATTAAGAACTGGTATGTGGCTCCCAGAGGGCATCAGACGTCCCCACTCTGTGCCTTTCCTTATCCTGTCGCCTCCACCTGGGATGCTTGCTAGGAGGACCACGTACTTTATCATTCAAACTGGGATACTCTTGAGAGTGAAAGGGCCTACAAGTCACGATGACACCAGGACAACAGGCATCAGTTGGGACTGTCCCGGGCAAACCAGGACACATAACCACCGCCCCCCTGCTCACGTGCTCATCCTCAGGCTCCCCCATTACCTGCCACCCCCTGCACATCTTCCTTAAGAAGCTCAGCTCCCTCCTCCACTGCACCCACGTTGGGGAGCATTCGTGGGCCCTGCTCAGCTCTGCCTTGTGAGTGCCATTGGGTGTCCATCTCATCCTCCTTGTTGGACATGGACTTCTCAGAGTCAGGGACCAGGTCAAGACACTTGGTACTTAACAGGTGCTTAATAAACTCTCATAAAACGGAGGAAATCCTGCTGACTGACAGTCAGAGGTAAAGCCGGTCCAGGAGTGAAGCCACGTTTATTTGCTGAGCAAATCATGAAGGCATGTCCCCAGCCCTCATTATCTTTCCTTCCACCTCTTGGCTTTCCAATAATTTGTACTCAGGATGTTGACGTAACAGGTGAACACATACGTGTGGACAAACAGAGATATGTGTTGCAGTTGTCTAGAACTTTCCAGGAATTCTAATGAGCATAGATATCAAAATACCTCTTTCATCGGCCTTGTGGGAAACATCTACAAACGACGAATATGTGTCTGGTTCAGGACCATGACTTCCCAGTTCGCTTCTGATTCACATCGTTCTCAGTTTGATTGCTTCCAATTAAAACCCTAATCTGGCATCATTGCTTTCAGAGAAACTGCATCCCGCTATGGCCACGCTGACATTTTGTCCCTTCTGTGTTCCAGGATCAGTACAAGTTCTGCTATGAGGTAGCCCTAGAATACTTGAATGCTGGCTGACGGCGTACACAGCCCTGCACACAAACCTTTCATCCTGCAAAGCCAGGACGTGCCATGGTGTTTGTGCCGATGAGATGAAGACTTCTCGATATGCTTATTTTGCTTTGCCTAATTGGCTCTTTTGAAGAGCCCAAGAAAGTGTTTATAAAACTGCTTGCCCTGCCCGATTCCCAATACTGCTGCTGCCTGACGGAAAACTACCCTCAGCATCCAGTGGTCCAACCCTGTCCTCCTAGGCACCAGCTCCGTAGAGCAGCATGGACAGCTGGTAAAATGAAGAGCACAATTATATTCTTATGAAGGAATTTGTACCTTTGGGGTATTATTTTGTGGCCCGTGAACCTTTGTTATTGTTACAACTGAGTGTACATTTTTGTTCTGTGGAGAATGCTACCTGGCATTATGATAATATATTATTTTAGTTAAAATTTGTATTTTAACATGTCGCATAATATATGTAGCTTTCCAAGACTAACAGATAAACATATAATGAACAAAGAGATGTATGAGCTGTTGTTTCTATCAGATTTGTATTGTTCCCAAGGGAAAAGCTTGGGAGGCGTTCAGTTCAGAAAGGCGGAGGTCGATGATCAGATTCACAGACCTGAAGCTTTGCCATGTGTTTATATTGTAAATATTTTTGATTTCATCAAATTATTTATTCATTAAAAGAAATTTTCGTGAAGCACGGTGAGTGACAATCATTTTTATCCAGCCCTGGAAATGACTTACTATTGTATGATGCTACCTCGTGTGAATTCTCAACTCAATAAATAAAGACCCGTGACCAGTGTCGTGTCTGCCTACTGTCCTGGCGCCCCGGCAGGGGCAGCTCCGGTCACTCTGGGCCTCTGGCAGAGAGATCGTGCCCGGGTCTGCTGGCCTGGAGCAGGTAGAGTTGGGACTCTGGAGAGAGAACTTTTGTCAGTGAGAGATCGAGGCCCATCCTGGGAGCCTCCCTGGGTGCACAAGCCCAGAAGCCAGAGCCAGTGAACTCTGACCGGCGGGCAGGCCGTTACAGGGAGCTCTGGGCCAGACACCAGGGCGGCGACTTTCTGACCAGGAGCAGCCTCTGCCTTTCTCTGTTTGATCTCAGTGGCCTGGGGGTCATGTCTGTCCTCTCCAAGCCTCATTCAAACCTGAAACTTGCTGAGAGAACGCTCTTTAGAGGGTCCCACAATCAGGGTGCATTTGAGCAGGACACCAAGCTGGACAAGACGTTTCCTGTAGGATGGAAAGACCACAGCCCGAGGGCTTTCCTGGCCTGTGAAGAAGGAGGAAGCCGGGCCGAGGACGAACACTGAGTTTAAACTGAGCGCCAGGCTGTGTGAAGTGATGGCCAGTAGATGGTGGGGACGGACCTTTGGCGAACGCCCATTCTATTCTGTGCTGGAAACTGTGCAGGCGTTTTCCCAAGTGGCAGCAGATCTACTCCCCAACCCAACAGTGTGATCGGGGACAGTATGGAGCCATCGGACAGCTGGAGACAAAAGATTAAATAACTTGTCCAATGTCACCCAGGCTCGTCAGTGCCAGGTGCCTCCAGGGCCTGGGGGGAGGTAGGGGCAGTGGCCCCAGCACCACATCCTTCTTATGACACTCGGGATAGGAAGTGCCCCTCGTCCTGAGACAGGAGACAGCCCATCACCCACTCTGGAAAATGGGGGGCTTCCTGCCCACTCTGGGGATCTCAGTGACTAAGAACGACAAGATCAAAGGTTGTCCATCAAGGGGACCGAGGCTGACCCTGCATCCAAGGCCTTCCCTGCTCTGCTGCACTCTGACTACACGATCCACGCACTCGGGAGGAGCTGGCCGCAGCCCAGTGAGTCTAGACCAAGCCCCTCACTGCCCAGGTCGCCGTGGACAGTGGCCTCTCAGCATCCCCACCCCACTCTCTTGGACGAGCTCCTAAAAGATAAAAAGCGCTTGCTGTCTAACTCTCCGGGGTACAGGAATGGGGACGGATGCCTGTAGCCGGCCGCACACTTTGTGTACAGGCAGGGCTGTGAGGGAAGTGGCACCCTCGGTCCTCTTGGACAAAGTCACGGTGGTCTTCACTCCTCAGGTGAAAGAAAAAGCCGGTTCAGCAGGGCCTGAAGCCACCTGAGCCTGAGTGTGCAGACGCGGCTCACATCCACCCCTACGTGATCAAACCCCATCTCACGTGGGAGCAATGGTTTCCTCCAGACTTGTGAATCTCTAGGATTTTTACCTTCCTTTCCCTCGGTTTCAGCTCTTAGCAGAAATAGTGATAGGAGAGCAGGAACATCTGGTGGCTGTTTCTCATCTCCCATGAGGCCTTCCTGCAGGTCAGGATTCCCGTCACCTTCCAGACACAGCAAAGGTCTCTGCCCTTTGCAAACAAAAGAGGCCGACCTCTCGGCTATGTGTTCCTTCTCTGTCTTCTCTCTGTGCCCAGGGTTCCCCTCACTGTTGTCTCCTGTGATGGCTGTGAAAGCCAGGTGTGAAAGCCCCCCTGACTTCCTGACACGGTCGTGCTCAAGGTCAGCCTTGTGACAGCTTTCAGTTCAGGTGCTGTGGTGTCTGTAATGTGTCAACTTGGCCTCACTGGACTGCATTTCCCAGATTCCATTCTCTGTGTGTTTTCAGGTAGGTGGGCCCCAGGGGTCATCCTGTGCCCAATGCTCTCAGAAGGCCCAGCTGCTACCCCAAGCCAACCAGGCGACCCAGCAGTGACCGGCACTGAGCATGAGCTGTCCACCAGCTGCTCACTGTGTGGATGCAAACTCATGCCTATATGTTCAGGTTTTGTTAAGACATCCCAGTTCTGGGTACCAAAATCAGCATCAGTTACCTACGGCTGAATAACAATTGCCCCAAAATTCAAATACTAAATAACCAATAAACATTGATTATCTCTTGCAGTTTCCATCGGTCAGAAATTCAGGAGTGGCTTTGCTGGATGGTTCTGCCTCTAAGGTCACTCATGCAGAGACTGTCCGAGTGTTGGGTCAGGGCTGTGGTCATCTGAGAGCTTGACAGGAGCAGGGAGATCCACTTCCAAGGTGGCTCACACACACCTGGCAAGTCGGGGCTGGTCATTGGCAGGAGGCCTCAGTCCTCTCCGCATGGGCCTCTTCACAAGCTGCCCAAGTGTCCTTGCAGCATGATGGCGGCTTCTCCCAGTGACCCAGGAAGCAAGGCAGAGGTCTTTTATGACCTGGCCTTGGAAGTCATGCCCTGTCATTTCCACCATATCCTACTGGTCACAGAAGTCTGCCCTATTCCGTGTGGGAGGGGATACACTGGGGCACAAATCCCAGGATGTGAGAATCCTTGAGGCCATCTGGAGGCCGGCTGCCACCTGCCATCCCACCCCGGTCCCCCACCCCAGCTGGACCTCTCCTTCTGTGGGCTGGTCAGCTGGACACAGTAAATCTTATCCCTGGATGCTAAGCCTGTCTGTCAAGGTCACTCCTGTCATGTGCTGTCCATTCCGTCCTGCTGTACTTTTTTCCTACCAGCTTCTTCTGCTGACCTTACCTCTAGTCACTTTTACTGTGCCCTAAGGAACCTTTATTGATATGTAAAGGAACTTACCCCATAGCCTTGATTACCATGAGGCTCTCTTCCCCCCACCTCCCAAGGAAATGGCCCCTCTGGACCTCCCCCAAGTAGATGCTTCCTCAGTTTCAACTGCTGCCCTTCATACTCCACTCAAGCTGGTGGATGGCCACGGCCTGCAGCTGGTCACCTGGAATGGCCTCACCTCTGAAATCTTCAACTTGCCAAATTCTGACCCCAGCCTCTTCAGCTGCTAGCTTCCTCTTTGCCATATCCCTGCCATCCTTGTTCTTTGAATTTATGAAGCCCTCCAGGCCATTCTCTGGGCGAGCCTCCCCTTCTTACCTTCTTTCCCAGAACAGCCTAAGCCCTGTGATGCATCACTTCACCCAGATTTACCAGCACCCTCAGTGCTCTTGACTCCTTATAGTTCCATCATATCTATCCTACAGATGGTCAGATTTAGAGAACTCCATCCAGGACTTCCAATCCCAGACAAGTTAGAGTAGCAAAGACCAGATTTACCCTCCTAATTGAAACAAATAAAAAATTGGGGGAAAAATATTTTTTAAGGTGGTTCTCAAGACACTGGACATCAAATAATGAAGGGAACAGGAAACAAGTTAGATGAACCCTAGGATCCCCCAGCTAACAGCCTTGAAAGAATTTCCAGATAATGGGTACAGGAAGGGGGAATCCAGGTGTAACCCAGTGGTCTCCCTTATTTGAAAGGAGAGTTCCCTTATTTGAAGTGAGAGTTCAAAAAAGCCAGGGTGGTTAGAGTTTGCAGGGCAGAGCAGCAGAGATGAGATGATGCATAGAGAAGGAATTCTGAACATCTGCACTGTCCCAATCAAGTCTTCAGTTAAGTACTGATCAGGATAAACATGGAAAGGACTTGAGGCCAAAGAAAGAACGACTCAAAAAGATTGGAAGGAAGAATACTCAGAGTTCACACGGAGCCGTATAGCTCCTATTCCCATTGGATAGAGAACCCAGAAAGCTTTGGCCTCAGCAAGTGGGGAAATTAGCTCTAGACTAAACACAGCTGTAGTCCTGCCTAGCGAAGCAATAACCAAAAGGATCAAACTGTTTCCAAGTAGCTTAACTGCACCACAGAACAAAACTCAAGAATATAGGGATACAAAAATATCCCGCACCCAAGAAAGTAAATTTGACAGTGTCTGGCATGCAATCCAAAATTACCAGGCACACAAAGAAGCAGAGAAATATGACACACAAGAAAAGAGGAGAAAAAACAATCAAGTGAAACTAACCCAGAAATAATATGGATGATAGAATTAGTAGACAAATACACTAAAACAGTTATTTTATAACATTATTCCAGATGACCAAGAAGCCAGAGAAAAGATTTAGCATATTTAAGCAAAAACATGGAAGATATTTTTTAAAATCCAAGTAGAACTTCAAGAGATGAAAACTACAAAGCCTGAGATTTTAAAAAATGTTCTAAAGGGGGTTCACAGCAAATTCGACTGCAGAAGAAAAAAATAGTGAACGTAAGACATCAGTAGAAATCATTCAAAACAAAACACACAGAGAGAAAAGACTGAACAAAAATGATCAAAGTATCAGTGAACTGCTGATGTCGCCCTGAAGTGGGGGAAGAAGAGAGGCAGAAGTAATGGCAAAATTTTCCAAACTTGATGGAAATTGTAAACCCACAGATTCAAGAAGCCTAATAAACCTCAAACACCAGAAACATGAAGAAAGCTACACCAAGGTACATCATCACCAAATTGTTTAAAGCCAGTGACAAAGAGAAAATCTTTTTTTGTTTGTTTGTTTACATATCACATATGACCATTTTTTCTCTTTTTTTTTGAATTTTAGAATTTTATTTACTTTTTGATACAGCAGGTTCTTATTAGTTATCCATTTTATACATATTAGTGTATATATGTCAATCCCAATCTCCCAATTCATCAAACCACCACCCCACCCTGCCACTTCCCCCCTTGGTGTCCATACGTTTGTTCTCTATATCTGTGTCTCTGTTTCTGCCCTGCAAACCGGTTCATCTGTACCTTTTCTCTAGGTTCCACATATATGCGTTAATATATGATATTTGTTTTTCTCTTTCTGACTTACTTCACTCTATATGACAGTCTCTAGATCCATCCACGTCTCTACAAATGAC